TGATCCACCTACAGAAATCAACAAATAGTGCACGATAGTCTACCTGTACGAAGCAGTGAATAACTCTATTCAGAAGCTGCTACGCCATGCCACCGGATCTGCAACATATGTACAAACAGACAGAAGGCGTCTACGATCTACAACTCAACGCCACCGGATCCACAACACTCATACTAACGGACAGAAGGCGTGTATAAGCTCTCAAATGAAATGTTGTATTTCAAAGTACCTCTGCACATGCACTATAAATTATATGCACATAGGTACACTAGAGGGAAAAATATAATCTTAACCCGTATGGGCCCCGACGAGCGTGTTATTGGTACACAAGTGACGTCTAGTGATGCTGCGCGGGTTATAAACTTTTTAACCCGATCCTCCTTAGCAGATAAAAAGAAGTCGACAGGGTTTAATTATAAAATGCCTCCAAATACCCACATGGGCCCCGGCGAGCGTGTTATTGGTACACACGAGACGTCTAGGGATGCTGCGCGGGTTGACAAGTGAATTCAAGTTCGAACCCGATCCTTCTATATAGATTAATAGGAGTAGACAAGGTTCAAACCAACAAACAAATATGTGGTCGTGGCAACCAGAATATTTGTTTTAAGCCTTCAAAGCCTAAAATTAAGAGAATTCACTCTCAAAGGCATAAAGCTTACGAAATCCGATCCTCTATCGATAATTCAATAGAGTCGACAAGATTCAATCAACAAAAGAGAAATAACCCCAAACACCCCGATGATGGCAGTGTTAAATGCAAATCTCAACCGGAGGGGTCCATTCCAAATATTTTTCAAATGTCGTTCCAAATATCCAAAAATCCAAAAAAATCTTAAAATCTCAAAAATATTTAAAATTGAAATAAATCCATCAAAAACTTAAAGCAAAAATCCATCCACCCTCCGCAACAGTTTGCCGGGGTGGACAAATTAAAATTTACTTCAGCTCACAAAGAGTCAAATGCCTAGTCGAAAATATCACTAGGATTCATTCTCAAACAATCTCTTGCCAGTAAGAACGTGGTACGTGTCCTCTAACCGGCAGTTTCACCGTCAAATGACACTGCAGGTAAACGGTTATGACCCGGGGCCCTCTGAACAGAGTGGTTTTGCCGCCAAATGGCACCACATATAGCGGTTATGGCCAGAGCCAATACGTTCCTTAGTGGTGTTAAATCCTTGAGATATGAATCAATAGGATATGATCGATAGGGCACAAAGCCTTCTATCAGCTAAGGTGGATTCAAATTTGTCCCCTTAGACAAGCATTCAACCCCTGTCTACAAGGTCCACTTGGACGAAGCAACCCATGGCTGCCGACAAGGATCCTTCTGTCAGGTTGGGTCGACTACCTCCTTTGACTAAGTAGACTAGGGACCATGATGGCCCAGGACGACGGAACCTTGGGATTTTGATCGGGCCCCACATCCATTCCCCCACCATCCGCTTTAAGTGTGAGATGGTGCAATTTCAAGTTTTAAATATTAAATCTTCCCAAATTCAAACATGATTTCTAAATCAAATCATTACTACTACTATATGCCAGATAACATGTACTTATACGTATCTGATTGACGACTAACCTTAATCGAAAGTTCTCTCTCATGATTGGGAGGGGTAATTAACTATAGGGACTTGCGCCTATAAGAAACCAGAACTCAGATCATAAAGTCCTCGCAAAATGAGGGCAAAATCTTTGGATAGTGTCTTATTTACAAACTCATCTGCCTTCCAAAATTTACCTCGAAACTTATTCAGTTAAAACTCCCTCGCCGAATAAAAAAGAAAAGCGGGCGAAGGCTGGGGCCGAATTTTCGAAGCCCACACAAAGAATCAACAAAAGTTGATAATCGTCAATAAGAACTAGAAGATATCCCTGAATCTTCTTCCAAATCCTGAGTCCATAATCCGCAGACAATAATCTGAGATACTCTTTATACATGAGTTCCTTCATCAAGTAACCTCCAAGACTCTTCATGCTGTAGATATCCATGTAGTAGTAGGAATACATTAAGGAACTAAAGGGGAAGAGCCCCTTTCAAACTTTTTAGAACTAAGATCAGTCATTCTCTTTCTTGGAAAGCTTTCCACCGATCCCAAGGATTAAAGCTCTTTAAAAAGTTTAAGTGTAGAACTTGAAGAAAGTTCTGATTTAATACTCCTTGTATTTCCTTTTACTAATGTTGTCTTTTTAAAATTAAGAATTAATTCTGAAGATGGTGTAACGGTTTCAGTATTTTCCTTATGACAGCTTTTGTATGAATCCAGTTCATTAGCACCAGCGTTAACTAATTCATGAATATCCGAATTTAAGTTTTCAAATTCTGATTCATTAGCTCCCATCAAATTGCCAGCCAGAATGGGAGTACAAACAACTCCCAATGATTCATCAATGGTTTCATTATTATCGGCTTCCAAAACTGCCTCCACAATATTAGCATTTTCAAATTTAGATTTTGAATTTACTGAATAGAGCTGGCAGAATTTTTAAAACCATTATCTGATTTCAGATTTCCCTCAATAGCCAAAGTAGATAAAGTTATTTCAAAAACAAACTCTGATATAGGATTAACGGCCTCCGCTTCTTCAGTCTGAAATAAATCCTGAGCTGTCTTTGGTACATAAATTTTAGGAGAGTTCACAGGATTATCAGCATGAATAGGTTTCGAAAAAACTGCATTATCTACAATATCCAGCAATTGAGT